ATAGACTATTGATCAAGTAGGACAAGGCCTTTGGTGAAGCTAGGGAGATCTCCAAAACCCTTGTGTTGCTCAGAAAATCCTGATGAAGCTCTTTTTGATAAACTATCAGCAATAGCATTCGCTTCTCTGAAAATATGATGTATGCTATACCCTCATCTTTCCATTAAGGCATGAATTTTCTCCAGTTCATAATGAAACCTCCAAGGATAAGGACCCCCACTGCTGATGAGGTTTGCTAAAACTTGGCTATCTGTTTGGATTTCTAAAGAGGAAAAGGCAAAATATTCACATTTCCGAATTCCAAACAGAAGGTCGTATACCTCCGCCTGGAAGCTATCTCCTTCACCTAGAAAACCAGATTCTCCATAAAGAAAGGAGCCCTTGTTCCCTCTAATAGCAAAACCATAACCCGAAGTTGATGTTTTTGATGAGCCATCAATATTTAGAACAAAATTACATCGCTGCTTCCAACAAACAGCAATCACCTTCTTACCCTTCACCTTAAAACTTGTTCTCGGAAACCTTTCTTGGAGGAAAACCCTTTCCATTTCATTCCGGACTGGAAGCATGTAGACTAACATCATGTTATGCAAATGATCCCTGATCACCTTAATGATGCTCTGATGATTTACTTTCAATTCCTTCAAAAAGAAAATTGTTGCGCGCCTTCCAGACCTCCCCCATCAAGAAAGACGGCAAAATTTTTTCAATAATTCCAATTGCCGTATGAGAGTTATTCAAAGACCACCAAGAAGTTAGAACTTCAAAACATTCCCTATGCCCAAAATTAAGGGCAAAAAAATTGTTAAAAAAATCCCATACCTCGCGCACTGAAGGACACGCCAAGAAATGGTGTATCATAGTATCGGAAGCAAGCTTGCACTTGAAGCACATGGAGGGCTGCAAATATATTCCCATCTTGCATAAAGTTTCTGGAAAGGGGAGCAAAGAATTTCCAAACTTCCACATGAAAAAGGAAATCCGCAAGGGGATATATTTGTGCCAAATATTTTGCAATCTAGGACTTACATTTTGCCTCCTTCGAATAGCTTCAAAAGCTAACTTGATAGTAAAATTTCCCAAGGAAGTTGGCATCCAGACCAATTTGTCATCACCATCCAAGAATTGTATCTCCATCAACTCCAATTCCGGAATTGCTGCAGAGGATAACCTTGTTCGAAACTTATCCAAAAAGAAATGCTTCCGAGAGAAGAAATCGCCAATTGTTGTCGAAGGCAAAGGTGGCGACTCATCTTCAACATCCCAAATGCACCCTAGGTCCGACCATTGGTCATACCAAAAACTTCTATTCCCTTCCCGCACCAAAGCTTTTGAATGAATAGTAGCCATGGCATCAATTTTTGCAAACTGAGTCCAAGCTGTCTACACCTTCTACACATGATACACATCCCTCTCTCTCTATTCTCTTTATTCCTTTGTTGACTTAAGCATCGGAGAGTCTACCCTCGAAAGACACCCAAGGCTCTGTCTTGCAGGTTTTAGGCCGTCCACCACTGCCTAGGTCATCATCGTCGCCCATCGTAAGCACCGTACAAATCTAGGCTTCGTCAAATTTCAACACACCAAAATCACCAAATTGGTGGCTTCGTCTATTCCTCTGCCACGAAAAAGGTCACTTTTATAGAAAATACTAATTTGAGATCAACACATGCAGTTTTGATGACTCCGGCGATGGTTGATATGTCGAGCATTCAAAGACCAAAATTTGGGGTAAGTCTTTGCTTGTGGTGGTTGCCTATGTAAGACGTTACTATGTATATGGAAGCCAACTTTTGCTGCTCTACCTCATTGTGGTTCTTAGATATGGTTTAGTATATTCACCTTGGCTGGCCGCAGGGCTAGAAGAATGGTAAGATCCATAAGAAATTTTGAGTACTCTAATACAACCACTAGTAAAAATTCAACACCAAGCAATATAAGATCAAATAGAAATGAAATACATGTATAGAAACTACCACTTTCTAGAGCTAGAGATAATCTACAGCAAGTTTTAACTGAGAAAAAAGTAGAGAACTCTTTTCCTTTTTGTTATTTTTATGAAAGGCCTTCAGTAAAAACTCTAACAAATAATTTTTCTCAAAATAGTGTTGTTGCTGATAGGAGAAAAATAACTGAGGAACCCAAAAGGTAGAAGTTGATTGAGGAAAGATCTAAAATGGGACTTCTAAGGGGAGAAAGGAGCGTGACTCACATCCTGATGCTAATCATATAAGGAAAAAGGAGTGCATTAATTGGACTAGGCATGCAATTTTTCAAGTATTCATTGAGTTTTGAGATCTGTATTAAAATAGTACAGCCTCTGTAAATAAAATAAAGTATTCATTGAGTATTGAGATCTGTATTAAAAACAGTACGAATTTCAAAACTCAATATAGACTGCTTTTTTTTCTTTGAAAGAGGTAGTATTATCTATGTCCAAGTTTATAGATTACAATCCAAATTTTATTATTCTATGAACCCTACTCTCCCCGGTCAATTTTATTGTTTTTGAAAATTAGTTAACTTACTGTATGGCTTCCCATTCCTAACTATCTATATGCTTGTGAAACTTTCTAATTGTGTGTTTGCTACTAAAATATGTAGAGTTGATTGTTATCCGAATGAGAAAGATTATAGAGATGATGAAATGTACCTAGGCTTATAAGACGGAAGCAAAGAAAGATTAGACAAGGAAGCATGTTGCTAGAAATGTCGAGGTTCTTTAGTGTTCTCACTCTCTAATAGGGGAAACAACTTTATCCTATAAAGAAATAATTGATGTACCCGACCCACATAATGAAATAAGCATATTCGTTCTTACCATCACAAAGCTTACAATGGATTCATTTCTTTCTTAATGAACTAAGCTTAACTAAAGAAATTCTCTCTCTTCCACTTAGCTTGCGATTAAATAGTTCCATGATAACTTGAGAGCCCCGAAAAATGCAAGTAACAGTTGTTATTCCATACATCTTTCAGATGAGAGAGCTATTCAAACATGAGGGAGAAGACGAGGGAGTTTAAAAGCATGACTCGCTGAAAAGAAAAGACTTAAGCAGAGAGCTTCCAATATTCTCAAATTATTTCTATTCAAAGAATATTCAGCATAGTTCGTAGAACCAAACCTCACCAGCGTTTGTTTCTGCAGTCCTTTATAGTGAGCTACAAGTCTTGAATTGTGATTGCCACATCAATTCATCGCAGTTGGCCAATGCCTATTTTTGTAAATAAGAATTTGAGTTCGACCACCAGAAGTGTTAGTCATTGTATTTGATCGATTTTAGTACTCCTCGGTTATATGGATTTTTGCCACCTATTACAAAACTTTAATTGAAATCTTTACCTTGTAAACAACACAACAAGACAATCTTATCACTAGAGATGTCCAGAAACATATAAAAGAAAAATTGTAATAGCAACAGTCTTGGTTTGTTCATGTAGTGGAAGCTTGTCAGTTGGAAGAGAAACAAAATTGTACTTCAGCATTCTTAAGCATGCGTTGTTTTAGGGTTTGTAGTTTTTAATGTTTTACAAATTCGAGAAAACCTTTACAATTAATGTATTAGTTGGTGATCCGTTGTATGGATAATAAGTAAGGGTAATTTTTTATTTCAAATATATTATTTAATGTTACATTGGTATTGATGAAATTTTTAAAAAAGACATCTATTTTGACATGGAAAGAGTAACCAATAACTTATAAAATTATTGATTTTGCGAATAATTTTTTTAAGAGCTTTCTAGATCCGTTGATTTATGGAAATTCTCGTAAATAAGGCATCAAAATTCAACCCATGTGAAGTTTTGAGAAATAAATGAACTCTAAATTTTTATAAAATCAGCAAAATTACATAGTCAGCTACCAAGCCACTTAAAAAGAACTATTCTCTAAAAATTAGAATTACGAAATACCTCTATAGTAAAATCCTAATTTTATTTTATTCCTACACCTCCATCACTTGTAAATAAAAATTTTAAGTTGATTGAGCCTAACAATAACAAAATAACAAATATTCTTGATGTACAAGCTGCATTGCGTCGAATTTTCAATAATGAATAAACCTTCTGCAGACAAAATCCTAAATTGAATGGATCTGTAAAGGTGATGCGAACACAAAGATTTTTCATATTTGAGCGACTGCAGGTTAATGATTGCTAGAATAATATCCAAGTTGATAACATCTCAAAATTAGAGAGCAATATATTGCATGTGGAACAAGAAAGCAACCTAATAAAGGATAGTATAGGAGTACACTTGATTCATTATAAGTATTTAAACTAATATTTGCTACGAGGTGGCTGAGTAGTGGAACAACATAGATTTCGTTTACTAAAGCCTGAAATTCATTTCACAATTGGTTTTTCAAATAATTCAAAATGGAATAGTGGTGTAGAATTACTAATTATCAAAGTGCTAACAAAACTAGAATAAAAACGGAAATGACAAGAAACTTTGTTCCAGGTAGGATATGTGGTTGACTATGCCATATGGCATACGAAGGTACACTCTTTTACCAGTGTTTTTGTTTTTTCATTTATAGTTTGACTTGAAGTGGTACGATACTAGGTGATTTTATAGATAATTACTCTCATAATTTCCAAAAAAGGAAAAATTTTGTGGAGAACATTATTTTTTTTTATGAGAATGTGAAACTGTAAATTTTCAATTACTACTTGAATCAAAAACACGTTCAAATTATTTCTATTAGGGGATAATAATATGTAACAGATATTACAATTGGTCATGAAAGAAGTAATTCCCCAAAAGGAAGTCAACTTATTTTTCAAAGATACTACATAAGAAAAAACAAAGTCAGTCAAAGTACAGCTCATATCCACCTTCATTAGGATAAATATTTATATCTAGTTTTACTATTTGCTTGCTCTCGCATAACTTGTATGTAATCGACTATTCTGTGTAATCAACTCAAAGAATATATAGCCATCTCTCCTTTTGTTTCAACCATTGTTGGTTCACTGAGTGTTTTTTCCAGTTCTTAATGGAAAAACAAAGAATTTCTTCTAAACCAAATTATCCAATTGTTTCTGGAAATTCAGAGAATGGCGAAAACAAGTCCTCCAATTCTAGCAACGACTCTTGTTATCCATCACAACTTGGTACAAATTCTAGTGAATTTGATATTCAAGTTTTAGTGATTGACCATGATAATGAATCCCTCATATCAACAGTCAAGATGCTTCGGATGTTTGCATATAAAGGTATGGCAGTTTGGTGATCCTCTATGTGAATCTTTTCGATGTTGTTGGAGAATTTCATTTATAGGTAGTACAGATCAAACAGAAATCTTTCGTCTTGCATTTGAATTTTTTTTAAAATATATATATATACATATATATAAACTTTTTTATTACTGGTACCAACTGATTTTGTTATTACTTGTTGACACATAAATAGTCCAGTTCAACTGTTTACTTTAATTTTTGACATTTAACTTGATAAAATTTTAATTACAGTGACTATGGTGGACCTAGCCTCCGAAGCCTTGGAGATTATTTTATCTGGGAAGAAGCATTTCGATGTGGTCATAGCGAATGTTGATTCCGATATTGATGGTTTTAAGTTCTGCCAGCAAGTAGCTAAACAGGGAATCCTAGTACTTCGTAAGTCCTCGTTATCATTATTGTCAAATGAAACTACACTTTAACAGTATTTGAATTTTTGCACAATATTGATCTAACTCAATGAATATATTCATTTGCTTCTCAAATTAAAGTAACATGTTCAAACCAAGAAAAACATCTCGCAACCAAAGCGATCGAAAATGGTGCTATCCTAGTTATCCATAAACCCGTGGATGAGCAGATCATCGGGAACTACTTATGGCAAATTGTAATGAGGGAAAGACTTCTGAGGAGTAAAGGAAAAGGAAAAGGAAAAAACAGCCCTAAGAGTACTGTTATTATTGCTGGTAAGGAGAAAAATGTTAGTAGAGGCCCTACAATGGAAGTTGGTGAAGGGAAGACCAAAAGAAAGGCTTCAAAGAAGAAGAGAAAGGAGCCTGAAAAAGTAATGATGAGGAAAAATGTCTGCATTGAATGGACTAAGGAACTCCATTCAAAGTTCATGGATGCAGTCCAACAACTTGGTGAAGGAAGTAAGTGCTTTTATATCTTTACTGTTAACTAATTAGCCCTCTCTAATTTGGAATATCGAGATTATAATCCTCAATTATCTTTGATTATTCTTTCTGAGTATATGCATTTATTAACATTCTTAGGTCATGTTACAAAATCTTTACATGCTTTTGAAGCTTTCTAATATAAATATATATTCCTGCTTAAATGTGTTGTAGGATGTTTTCCCAAGCAGATTACAGAGATAATGAATGTACCTGGGCTTACAAGGTCCCAAGTTGCCAGTCATCTCCAGGTTGGATAGTCTTGCCATTCTTATTTAGCATTCAGAAGGGGTATAATTTTTTCCTAGAGATTAATTGTTTTCAGAGTGATTGGAGGATTTCTACACGTTGAACTAAAATGAGCTTAATTTAAGTGGTGAAATTCGTTGTTAGATGTTTATCTTTGTAGTATAACAAACGATATTCAATGTAAATATTTTTTTCTTTGTATTTAACATACAAAGGATTGGGGCTATATTTCTCTTTTCTTCTTCTTAAAGAAATGCCGCCATGGTAACTGGGGAGCCCCATACCAGCGTAAGTGCCATGGAAGGGAGAAGATGAGGGGCTTTGGAAGCACATGTCATGGAGAAGACAACAATCTGGCTGAGGACCAACAAAGTTCTACTAATTCAACTTCTGGGAGTACAAACACCGCCAACAATGGTTTCTTTGCCAAGGTTACTTATGATTTCTTCCCCTCGAACCCCTAGCAGGTAAGAGCCAAGTTAATTTATGTACCCTCCAGAACACAGTTTTGTTTGCTTCAACCCTAGAGTAAATATGTAGTTGACTACTTTAATTTAATATTTTCAGGCTAAAATACAATTGGGAAGCAAAAAGTAAGCAGATCTGAAGAGTGTAGTTCGCGGATGCATGATTCAAGAAAGGTTCCAAGACTAAGAATGTTTTTAAGTACTTGAAATTATTGAATTTTCAGTGGGATTTCTAAGTTTTCTATGTAGTTGATATCTTGGACTTGTCTTTTTGAACTTCAACAAAACTTAGGATTTTGAATGCTGTTCTACATGTATCTTGGTATTCATTACATTGGAATATTTGATATGTTATGGAATGATTGAACGAACCAAATTAGGGAAAATGCACCTTTTTTTTCTACTTCTGGGAACATTTTAGACAAAAATGCTTTGATTTACACATTTTCATCTATAGATAATTTGAAGGATTTGTTTTTATTGTATATCAAAATTTCCCATCAACTCATTTCTCCATTTTCAAGCAAGGAAAATGAATATTTTTATCCCAAAGTTTAGGTCGCACTAATCAAATCCGCCCCGAAATTTCCGTAAAAGTCGTAGTGCATATTTTTTAAATACGTCTAGCCTTCTAGGAACATTTTGGACAGAATACTTTGTTTATATATTTTCGTCTCTAGGTAAGTCGAAACATCTTCTTACAACGTACAAGAAAGTTTCCCACCAAGTAATTTCTCCAATTTCAAGCAAGGAATATGAATATTCTCACCCTAAGCTTTAGGTCACACCAATTAATCCATCCCTTTGAATCATCTCGAAAACCATCAAGTGACAGAAAGTTGAAAGAACCCTAGCTAGCTTAGAGCTGTAGATGAAAACAATTTAAGTGCTGCAAAAATTAAGACCAAAGATTCACTGACATTGTAGATTGAGCTTATGTAACGAGAAAATGGGATCAAGTCTTAACAATTTCAAAACGTTGTTTTCTTTGCTTTCCTTTTTTTGAAACGGTACCTAGATTTCATTAACAATGTGTTGTACCTATTCTACTACATTTTAACTTGTTATATGCTATATTATGCATCTACCGAACATCTCTTCGGCTTTATCATAGAAGAGCTAAATTTATTATTTTCTTTATCAAATATAGTTATTAGATTTGGCTATTACTCTTTAAAATAGTAGTAGCAAGGGGCGAGAGGGTTGGGTGGGGTTAGTTAGAAGATTAAGAAGGGGATGTTTATTATCAGAGGAGATCAAGGTTCGATTTTTGCGAGGGCCATTCAATTTTTTTTTTAAAAAAAAATATAGTAGTAGCAAAATAAAGTCATATTTCTCGTTACGGCTTGGGTTACTTACTTGCAAGTAGAAATGACATGCATTTTCAATTTTTTTTTAAAAAAAAATGATATGCATTACTAATTCCTTTGTGTTGACCGCTAAAAGCATCCCAAAAAGAGTGCTTAATACATGAAAAAAGCCATTTAGAGAAATTGTGCTATATTCAGAGAAAAAAACATTAGTGATTACCTATATTACCCCTTATGCAATTTTATGAGATTTCTCACTTTTTTTTTTTTCTTGATAACCTTCTTTGAAGTATGTTCTTTTCCTTGTTTGTTTTTTCTTTCGGAAATTTCAATAATAAAAAATCGCAAATGGCTGGAAGTGGCATATAATAGAAAATTTTTCATGGTCAACATCTTTTTTTTTGGATTTGCATGAATTTGGTACAATTCTGGGGCTGTTTTGGGCTAGCCGATTGCATATATAGCTTGTCGTAACGTCCTTACGCCAAAGGGACATTGTGAGGAAGCCAACAATAATTTTGCCTGTGTTTTTTGTGAAAATTTAAGTGCTCTAAGCATTTCTAAAACTATATATTGCTAGTAGGAGTACGTAGTAGCAAAAAAAGAAAATAAATAAAACCAAGAGAGTAGCAAAACGGTTAGGTAAAGATGAGCCTTTAGAGTATGCAAATTCCAAGTTAAAAATAAAGGAAAATATTCGAAGCTAAAAAATTTAAAAAAATGAAAAAAAATTTCTTGGAGACGTGGAAATTATTGCCGGGCGTTAATGATTATTAGTCTAATTTTGGTTATTTTGTACCCAGAACTATAGACACCTGGAAGAGTTGAAAATAGAATTGCAGTAGTTGGAGTAGCCCAAAATGAGTCAGTAAAGTCATCAAGGATTAACCCATTTTGGCATGTCCGAACACAAATACTACTATGGAATTGGACTAGCTAAAGTTTAAGGAATTGGAGGTAATGGTCCGCTATTATTATGCATTGTTATAAAAGATAAGAAATTAAGTTTCCGAAGTAATGATATATCACTCCACATTAAGATTTAGTAACTTTCAAAAAAAAAAAAAAAACATGAAGATTCAGTTTATTTTTACATTTTTTGCCGAGAGTTTTTTTTTTTTTTGGGGTAAAATGTGAATTTCATTCATTTACTTTGAATTTATATCAACCGCATCTAATCTGTACACCCAAACTCTCCAAAAATTGAACATCATCGCCACTACCATTTCTATACAAATGTGCAATCCTACATCTTAACTCATTCTGGATTTTCAAAACTCTACTACTTACTATTTCTGATGCTGAGCTGAATAGCCTTGCGTTCCGCTCTGTCCAAATGTGGTTAATAGCCGCGTTTTTACATGCATGCATTACCTTCCTTCTCACTGTCTTAGTCTTCCAAATATTCAGTAGTCTAGCAGCATTCAACATGGAGATTTCACTGCGCAATCCCATCCATGTTGTAAGCATCTTCATCATCTCCTGACTGTGATCACATTGGAAGAAAGATAGTTGACAGACTCATCTTCTCTACCACACAGCAAGTATTTTTTATCTTCCACATGTATACACAACTTCATCAGCCTGTCTTTTGTTAATAACCTGGCTTTGCAAGTGAGCCAGCTCACAAAACTGTGTTTTGGAACTGAGAATTTTGCGGACTATTTATTTCTTGTTCATATTTTTTTGTAAAAAAATTTAATTTCATTACGATGGAGTATATTACTTTCTTTTTACATCACCATCAGCAAATGATTACCGGCCTAAACAGAGAAATCAGTTTTAACATCTCCTACCAACTATCACGGGATGTATTGCTGGCCTGTTACACCATTTCTTAACGTTGAAAGAATTAAGAACCTTTTGGATTGAAAGCAAATCTAATCTTGAGCTGGAAAATAATTTGGCAAGTAATATTAGTCTCTTCAGTAGGTTCTTTGCCGAAGCTGGCATTATTCCTTACCTTTCTATACATAGTAGACAGTTGCACATCAAGAAATTTTCATAGCCACACTTGCCAACAATTACATAGATGATGACTTGCCAACGCGTACGAAGAACGTGAAAGTTTCCACTCATTAAAATCACATGTCCTGTTGAGGGTCATGTCCCACATCGGAGGCATGAGGACATGTGAATCAGTTAATAAGTAAGGTAGTCTCAGAACCCATTAGCTTGAGCTTTTGAGTTCAGATGGGTCTTATCTTACTTATTGGGCTCCATGTCGGGTTTTCTCCTCTGGATAAATCCTCAACAGTGGTATCAGAGCCCAGGTTGGGCCAAGTGGGTGAGTGATTTAGCCCAAATTATCTCGGTTGATCTGACTGAACCCAGGCAGTCAAAGGCCCACTACGAGCGGAAGCGTAGGGATGAGCGGCCCTGTTACTCAGGTGGGGTACAGATTTGGGCTTGTCAAAATAATTTGAAAGCCCGATGTAGAGATTGCCCATGACGGGGGAGAATGTTGAGGGTCGTGTGGCAAGGATTATGAATCCCACATCGGTGGAGTACAGATTTGGGCTTGTCAAGATAATTTGAAAGCCCAATGTGGAGATTGCCCATGACGGGGGAGAATGTTGAGGGTCGTGTGGCAAGGATTATGAATCCCACATCGGAGGCATGAGGACATGTGAATCAGTTAATAAGTAAGGTGGACTCAGAACCTATTAGTTTGAGCTTTTGAGTTCAGATGGGTCTTATCTTACTTATTGGGCTTTATGTCAGATTTTCTCCTTCAGATAAATCTCCAACATATGCATGTCCAATCTTACTTGAAAATAGACAATCAAATAAGTGTTTCGCAGTTTCTTCATGCTGACGAGTGACAGACAGTTTTTTAAATCACATAAGGTATCTATTAAGGAATTCCATTTTGCCATCCTGACCTTAGTATTAAGCCTATTCAAATCACAAAACCAAGATATAAAGGAGAATCTGGTGTGTGGCGGGAGTTATAATCATTAATAGTTACTTTTTTAAGTAGGGATTTAAATAGAAACATTGATATTATATGTTAATGCGAATTCATTTCGATATCATTGTGGAAAATTATTTTCTTCTTATAATTTATTTAAAATTCAAAATATCATTCTCATACTTATGCAAAAAAAGAAAAAAAATCAATTGTCAAATAATAACTATTCCAATACGTGTTAAAAACATGTCAAAGCGAACAAAAAATTCCTTTATTAAGCAATATCGAAAATGAGAGTCTTTTTCCCTGATTTTGTTTCTGGACAATAGAACGGAGACTAAACTTAATTGGAAGCTACAGTACGAGAGGTCCAGTCGGCAGCCGGACATCTATTTGTATATAGTTGCAGTTTTGCAGCGCCGGGGAATGAGGGACGTCAAAACCCATTTGAACAACAATGAGACCCCAAAAACTGAAACAAACACTCTTGACGTTAAAATGATTTTTAACAAATGCGGGAATGATACTCGAGAAAGCTTTAGCTCGAACTGGCAGCCTGTGCGCTTCGACGAAAATCTCTAATAAAAAAAAAAAAAAGAAAGCAAAAATAAAGAAAAGAAGAAAAAAAAAAAAGAAAAGAAATGTTGAACTATTTATCCCACATTGGTGTCTGGAGACACTTTGTATCAGTATAAAAGCATCATGGGCTACTCCCCTCATTGCCAATTGGTTTTGAGATGGAACCCATGAGCTTCTATATGGTATCAGAGCGG